GATAGTAAGATACATGAGAGAAGTATCGGTTTGGTATTTATAGTAAGATACACGAGAGAAGTATCGGTTTTATATGTATAAGATACACGAGAGAAGTATCGGTTTGGTATTGATAGTGAGATACATGAGAGAAGTATCGGTTTGGTATTTATAGTAAGATACACAAAAGAATATCGGTTTTATATGTATAAGATACACGAGAGAAGTATCGGTTTGGTATTGATAGTGAGATACATGAGAGATGTATCGGTTTGGTATTTATAAGACACACAAAAGAATATCGGTTTTATATGTATAAGATACACGAGAGAAGTATCGGTTTTGTATTTATAGTAAGATACACGAGAGAAGTATCGGTTTGGTATTTATAGTAAGATACACGAGAGCAGTATCGCTTTGGTATTGATAGTAAGATACACGAAATTAGTATCGGTTTGGTATTGATAGTAAGATACACGAGAAAAGTATCGGTTTGTTATTTCCTGTAATATACACGAGAGAAGTATCGGTTTGGTATTGATGGTAAGATACACGAGAGAAGTATCGGTTTGGTATTGATAGTAAGATACACGAGAGAAGTATCGGTTTGGTATTTATAGTGATATATACGAGGGAAGTATCGGTTTGGTATTTATAGTTAGATACACGAGAGAAGTATCGGTTTGGTATTTATAAGATACAAGAGAGAAGTATCGCTTTGGTATTGATAGTGAGATACACGAGATAAATATCGGTTTGGTATTGATAGTAAGATACACGAGAGAAGTATCGGTTTGGTATTTATTGTAATATACACGAGAGAAGTATCGGTTTGGTATTTATAGTGAGATATACGAGAGAAGTATTGGTTTGGTATTTATAGTTAGATACACGAGAGAAGTATCGGTTTGGTATTTATAAGATACAAGAGAGAAGTATCGGTTTTGTATTTATAGTGAGATACACAAGACAAGTATCTGTTTTGTATTTATAGTGAGATACACAAGACAATGATCGGTTTTGTATTTATAGTGAGATACACGAGAAGTATCGGTTTGGTATTTATAGTGAGATACACGAGAGAAATATCGGTTTGGTATTTATAGTAAGATACACGAGAGAAGTATCGGTTTGGTATTTATAAGATACAAGAGAGAAGTATCGGTTTTTTATTTATAGTGAGATACCCGAGAGAAGTATCGGTTTGTTATTTATAGTCAGATACACGAGAGAAGTATCGGTTTGGTATTTATTGTAATATACACGAGAGAAGTATCGGGTTGGTATTGATGGTAAGATACACGAGAGAAGTATCGGTTTGGTATTGATAGTAAGATACACGAGAGAAGTATCGGTTTGTTATTTATAGTCGGATACACGAGAGAAGTATCGGTTTGTTATTTATAGTGAGATACACGAGAGAAGTATTGGTTTGGTATTTATAACATACAAGAGAGAAGTATTGGTTTTGTAGTTATAGTAAGACACACGAGAGAAGTATTTGTTTGGTATTTATAAGAAACACGAGAGAAGTATCGGTTTTGTATTTATAGTAAGATACACGAGACAAGTATCGTTTTTTGTGTTTATAACATACACGAGAGAAGTATCGGTTTTGTATTTATAGTAAGATACACGAGAGGATATTGGTTTTATATTTATCAGATACACGAGAGAAGTATTGGTTTGGTATTTATAGTTAGATACACGAGAAAGGTATCGGTTTGGTATTTATTTTGAGATACACGAGAAAAGTATCGGTTTTGTATTTATAGTGAGATATATGAGAGAAATATCGTTTTGGTATTTATAGTGAGATGTACGAGAGAAGTATCGGTTTGGTATTTTTAGTAAGATACACGAGAGAAGTATCGGTTTGGTATTTATAGTGAGATACACGAGAGAAGTATCAGTTTTGTATTTATAAGATACACGAGAGAAGAATCGGTTTGGATTTATAAGATACACGAGAGAAGCATCGGTTTGGTATTGATAGTAAGATACACGAGAGAAGAATTGGTTTTATATTGATAAGATACACGAGAGAAGTATCGGTTTGGTATTTATAAGATACAAGAGAGAAGTATCGGTTTTGTATTTATAGTGAGATACACGAGAGAAGTATCGGTTTGTTATTTATAGTCAGATACACGAGAGAAGTATCGGTTTGGTACTTATAGTGAGATACACGAGAGAAATATCGGTTTGGTATTTATAGTAAGATGTACGAGAGAAGTATCGGTTTGGTATTTTTAGTAAGATACACGAGAGAAGGATTGGTTTGGTATTTATAACATACAAGAGAGAAGTTTGGTTTTGTAGTTATAGTAAGACATACGAGAGAAGTATTTGTTTGGTATTTATAAGAAACACGAGAGAAGTATCGGTTGGTTATTTATAGTCGGATACACGTGAGAAGTATCTGTTTGTTATTGATAGTGAGATACACGAGAGAAGTATCGGTTTGTTATTTATAGTCGGATACACGAGAGAAGTATCTGTTTGTTATTTATAGTGAGATACACGAGAGAAGTATTGGTTTGGTATTTATAACATACAAGAGAGAAGTTTGGTTTTGTAGTTATAGTAAGACACACGAGAGAAGTATTTGTTTGGTATTTATAAGAAACACGAGAGAAGTATCGGTTTTGTATTTATAGTAAGATACACGAGACAAGTATCGGTTTTGTATTTATAACATACACGAGAGAAGTATCGGTTTTGTATTTATAGTAAGATACACGAGAGGATATTGGTTTTATATTTATCAGATACACGAGAGAAGTATTGGTTTTGTATTTATAAGATAAACGACAGAAATATCGGTTTTATATTTATAAGATACACAAGAGAAGCATCGGTTTTGTATTGATAAGACACACAAAAGAATATTGGTTTAATATTTATAAGATACACGAGAGAAGTATCGGTTTTGTATTTATAAGACACACATGGGAATATCGGTTTTATATGTAAACGATACAAGAGAGAAGTATCGGTTTGGTATTTATAGTAAGATACACGAGAGAAGTATCGGTTTTGTATTTATAAGATACACGAGAGAAGAATCGGTTTTGTATTTATAAGATTCACAAGAGAAGTATCGGTTCTGTATTTACTAAACATATATCAGTCTAGTGGATCAGGCTTTTCATGTTCTGAACTAATGAACATGTTACATTCTGTTTGTAAATATATAAAGACAGATATATAAAATCGAACAATGAGCCTGTTCAGGTATCTTGTACTACCTCACCTGATTGAATATTGATAGAAATATGTAGCTTATTATGACTAATTAGACATAAGACCCACACCACATACTATGATCCGCCCCTGACATCCGGGTATCCATACACGTCACAAATTATTATATGAATGTCATGCATTTCCCGTGACCACCAAGGCCGATTACTTCTGTACAATGAATACACTACTACAATGTACTTACGGAAATATGTGTAACACTTATAACACCGAGTGCCTATACGAAGGTTGCATAAGCTACATTGTAAAACAAGGGCACTGGACTAACGGTTTGTTAAATGCACCATTCGTAAATAAAGGAATATAACGCTTCATGTGTTCGAATACAGCTTGTTCCGTTGCAGTCAGTGCACGCTTGAAGACAATTTTTGCTTGTTTTAATGTCGTTAGTGAAAGTTTTTAGCAAAAGTTTATTGTCTGTTCATGATAAGGGATAAACTACTCGTACCATGCTGTCTATACAGTAGATAAATCGCAACGTAATCGCGGCAGTTACCGAACCCTTCTGACACAAGCTGAGTGTACTCCGTGAACTGGAATATACGCTAATGTCTTATCTCCTTCACAAAGAGCATCTCTACCAAAAGTTCACCTGCATACGTCAGATGAGGTTTCGTATTCAGCGGGTAGGGTTGAGGAGGGTTGAAGGGAGGGTTCCCAAGTGCATTTATATAGAAGTTAAAAGAGAAAGAAGTGAAGATTTTTATATTAATGATAATAACAATGACTAAAGAAATTCTTACACCTAAAATGAGTACTCCTAAATGTATAATTATTTTAAGTTTGCACTAGTAGTTCCCCGTTTCATACTCTAAGAAACCTTGACATTCTATTTTTTCTGTATTTAATAGCTTCATAGTAAAGACGATGTTGTAAAAAAGTGGAACGGATGTAGTTTTAAAACCACACAGGTGCTTCAACCGCCTTTTTATTCTCCCATATCTAATTACAGTAGAGCTTAATGGGATACTTCTAAAACGGTAGCTGTGCTAGATGCTCTTCCCGTGAGAAACGTCTGTCATTAAGTACGCCTTTATGACTGTGACTTATCACTTAACATGTACTAGGAATGATTGCTGAGAGCAATAATTATGTGTTGTATTATACCATGGTAATGAAACGGTGAAGTTATGACATTTAAAAACGTGAATTTAGTTGGAGCAAACATTAGAAAAAAGTGACATAGTTTCAAAAATAAAAGTGCAGCTCAACGTCGACACGAACACGTAACAATGTATATCTTCTCTTGGGAGCAGGTATTGATTGTTACGTCACTTGTTTGTGAGAATAACGTCATAAATTTTTGAGAAAACGACGGAATTTTCTCACACAGACCAATGATGTCACAATAAATACCTGCTCCCAAGAGAAGATAACTCTGCAAAACGCAAAGACGGAATACTGATCCGAAATAACAGAGTGTAAGTACGGCGTCATTTTTGGACGCTTAAAACAAAAGTGTTCGAAGGAGTTAAAAATAAAAGAAATACATAAATAAATAAAATTCTACATTAATCGGATAATTAATTTTAAATAAAAGTGTATTATTATTGTTTTGCTATTTTTGCTACCTGTTGCATTATTCTTAGATTTAAAAAGAAATACCAAAAAAGCAACCTTTTAATCTCAAAAATAAACAAAATAGACAAAGACGTAGTTATCTAGTTGTGTTATGTTTACATCATGATAATAGTATCGTACTGTCCTTTTGTGAAGTAGTGAGTTTAATAGAACAGGTAGAATAACCTAGTTACCCTTGTTGCTGGATCCTTGTTTTTGACTGTACAAGGTAGGACGGCCGTGAAACCTGCTATAAGGTTAACTGTAATCGGGTTCTGATCCAGGGAAGGACCACTACTTCCGGCTACCACTAAAATAACAAAACACGGACGGATTAGTATAGTTCGGAGAAATCACTACTTCTGGTTACCACTGAAATATCAAAATATGGACGGATTAGTATTTCGTGGATGGATTACTGCTTCCGGCTACCACTGAAATACCCAACTACGTACGTAAAAGTATATCGTGGATGGATCACTGCTTCCGGCTACCACTGAAATATCCAACTACGGACGTATAGATATATCGTGGATGGATCACTGCTTCCGGTTACCACTGAAATATCCAACTACGGACGTATAACTATATCGTAGATGGATCACTGCTCCCGGCTACCACTGAAATATCCAACTACGGACTTATTAGTATATCGTAGATGGATCACTGCTTCCGGCTACCACTGAAACTAGCTTAGAATCGCAACAGCACGCTTCCGGTTCTCACTAAAACAACAAAGCATTGACAGAATTATGAGCATGTAATGTTACATGGAGTGGTCAACGCTTTCGGCTAACAATGAAACAACGCAATGCTGACAGAAGCGATTTTACTGATATTCTTTCCTTAAACAAACATGAACCACATTGTAATACTGTAGTTATGTAATAATATAGTGGTATCTTATTTTGATTTATAATGTTTCGTTTTATATTGTGCAATTTGTGTTGTATTACGTTGTGCGGAACTACATTACATTTGTCATTGGGCGTGTTAATGGATGATGAATACATTTTCTTGGAACTGTTGTAAAGGACACCAGCAACGAAACGTTACTGTAAACAACGAATACATCATGTCTTACAAAGAGATAAACCGCAAGTGAAACAGGATTGGACGACATACGATATATTCCTCCCACCACAACCCACACCGTAACCACCCTGTATTGACATATATAATACTGTCAGACACACCAGCTGGATAAGCTACACTATCAGTGATAAATGTTAGAGTAACGGTTGCGGTTTGTTTTTTGTATATCTAGCTCGTTTCTCGGATTTCGCTCTCTCTCCCCTTTTTTTGGAGTGGTTTACCACATTCTCGCATCTAACTGATGTAAATACCACTCAGATCACCCGATATCAGCTGGTGCCTTTCTGAGTTACGTCATCATAACCAAACGTATTCCCTAGACAATATGTGGGCTTTTAGGATATTAAGCGTTTTAGTGGTGTACTTTTTGTATTAAATGTTTGAGATCGTTTACGACATATAAGAGTAGTCACTTCGTTAAACATCACACATAACCTGTTGAATCACCTGGAGGGACCTTTTATCGCCTACCACAGTTGAGATGTTCACCTGAAATAACCTGTTGTTTACACAACAAACAGACCACCCTACTCGACGTTATACTCTGTAATGACACTAATATGCTGAAGTACCGATTGTGTTAGTGACGCTTGTGCTTAATTATATCTCTTTATATATGATTTATGCCACATACATGCCGTGCACGACTATAAATTAGCTGAGTTAACATCAAAACTCGACGCAATCCAACCATCCGGATATATATACCCGGCGTGGTGTCGATGTATATCACTTCTCGAGCCATTGTGTCTAGCCAATAGAATGCCAACATCGATTATGTTTCCATCGATTTGAAATGTCATGCAATTTAATCCTGACACGAAGATGAAGGTTGTCTTTTAGCTAACAAATAACTAACGAGTTATTTTCAAATGGTTATCAGTATTCAGGTTTTGCTTTATTTTTAATTTGCTAAAGTGGCATTTGTCTAATTGATTTCAGTTGCTTTTAATCAACATGGAAACACAATAGGTGACTACTAGTTTTAAACGTCTCGAATTAACAATGAGGTATCATGTATCCGGTTAGTGAACGTTTCAGCTTACGTGCATGTACAGATATATCCATTAATGTTATTACATTATAACTTTTCACTACCATTGACGTTAATATTTGAGCTTGTTTTTTACAGGGATATAATATGAAATTGTGAAGGTTTATAGCTTCACATGTTTTGTCAAACATATATGATATACGAAAAAGGACTATCTCACAACATAGAAGACAACATGACATGACGAAACATATAAAAATATAAATACATCTAAGATGTGTACGTCTATTCGGCAAAAACGTTTGTATGCAAGTAATGGTTGAATCAATCAGTCAATATATTTAACTTATCATAAACTTAGGGTGTTGTAATGATTTTAAACACTAACACATGCACTTTTACTAGTTAAATTTGAAATAGTAACCACTGATGTCATACCTGAATATTCTCAACATGTTCAAGATACCTTAAGTTTGATATGTATAATGCATCTCATCAAAACAAATCATAGCCCATTCCCTCGCTCGTTTCATGGAAATCATACATAAGGACACGCGTTTAGGTTCTCTTCATAACAAAACGGACTGATGTTTGGGAAAAAATGTACCATTTAGATGCTTTATGAATTAGAAAAAATAGCTACAGTTATAAATCCTATTGCATTACATGTACATCATGACATCATCTGAATATGATAATGAGAGCAGTTAGATTTTTTCTTCAATCAACAAAGTGATAGCTTTACACTACCTTATACGAAATAGCAAATACACTGTCTTACACCCAATAACAAACAACACGTAGTAATGAAAACATAGTATGACTGATACACCAATAGTAGTCATTTATGCAATATAACTTATTAATATTTAATGTAGAACACAAATAAATGCCAAGACCGAAATATGTCATTTCAAAAATGAATAGTCGATTAGGAGTTTCATTATGGACATGTTATTGATATTTAACGTAAATTACCTAGATGTACCAGCACCAACGGTCTGTGTCTCATTGATACCGACATTAAGTGCTACCCAACACTATGTTATGGACATTTATATGTAAACAGTTGACGTAAAACGCTGTTCAAGTACTACTGCTGTCATTTATACATACATACAAATACATAGTGTATATATCAGTCAATGATACAGATCTACTTAACATTTAATATATTAATAACATATAATATACATATATATTAAATACACATACGACCACGAGTAACTCATCATTAAAATTGTATATAAATAATAATTATTACAGAGTTTCTCAATAGATCGTAAATAGCTAATCATGCGTTCATGTACATTAATACTGTGTACATAAATGCACTTACAAAATGTATTTGAAGTAAGATGTTATCGATTTCAGTGTGGGAAAATTTACCTGGGATAAAACCCAGCCCACTCATATTCCTTACAGAAATAGGAAATGTTATAAATGTAGTAGGACAGGACTATCCTGCATGTCCGGTTACTGTGTATACAGAGACAGGAGTCACCGAGGGAGACTTTATTCTAATTATAATACAAATATATTATAATTAAATGTAAAACGTATTCAAATATCTTAATATGGCGTAATACGTGTATTTTCTTATAATGTGTATATATTCTATTGTAGTATGTGTAATATCAAAGTCATGCAACATTAATATATTGTTAGGTAATATTGTGTACACAAGTACAAACGTCGTAAAAATTGCATACGCGTCCCACTCAATTACACATACCTAAGATGTTTTTTTATTGCTATGGACAAAGTATTTAAAACACAATTTCTTATGTGTTGAAATTAGAAGATTTTTAAGGAATAAGAGTATTGATTTCTAAACCTCATATCACTACGTATGTATAATATTCACATATGCTATTGTGATAACTGACATTGGGTTGTATGTATATAATACTAAATTGCTTGTGATATGTTTGTTCAAAATCAAGAATACACACTGTACACTAAACATTGTATATCCATTGATGTGCCTACGGTAATCAGTGTTAACATAAGATATCTCCTGGTATATGTCGAAAGTAAAATTATCGAAACAATGGCTCTAGTAAAACGAAATAATGACTCACAATTAAATATCGAACAACAAAACAAACGGTACTTTGACAGATACAATTGTACTTCAGTATCCTTGATAAGCATGGCATCAGTACATAATCAAAGAAAGGGTGCGTTGTTGATTTACTAATACGTTGTACAGGGTTAACATGACGTTGCCTTTATACAATGTACATTCAATACCACGAAATCATGATTCACAATACAATCACTTGTCGCGCCAGTTTAGACGAATTCAAATATCAATGCCGTGTGAAATGAACCGTAAACAGTACAGCTGCATACACAAACGACGTGAATATCTTCTGTACATTAATATACGAATAACACATATAAAACGTATCGATTTTAACTTACCTGGTAATAGTAAAGGCAGTAAACATAGCACACTCCACATGACTGGGTCTGTTTAGTCCTAGGATGTGAGGCTAACTCTGGTAGAATCCATGTGTACAGATACCGACCCTGAAACCCAACACTAACAATGTAATTCCAGCGCCAAGTGTTATCTAGTGATATTTAGGAAGAAATGTGTTGAGACGGTAGTATACAGGAAAAAACGTTTTATCTGGTTGGTAGTAAGATGCAAATAGAGCAGAAGGTTTGTTTCTAATGTAAACACAACGTATTGACCACTTCTGTACCTCTCCTTATAGCACCAACAATATCCTGGACAGTGATGGTGTTTATAATCCAGATAGAACACTATGAAAATTGGTCAATATTTGACATAGATCCGACTTAGACGTTTCCAGGACGTCCATTCATTCATCGGCTGGACAGGACGACTACCCATCCATCAAGACTAATCAGGATGTGATGCACATGTTCGGGGTCTCCTCGGGAGTACTTCTAACTGCGGTGGACTCGCTTCTGGCAAATGTAACGCCAAGTCTTCTGTAGATACTCCTAGTACTGGTATCATGTATAGTCTACGTACATATGTTATGTCAGTTATAGATATATGTACTAACGTATCAAAACGGTAGCGAATCGCTTCTAGCTAGTCACGGTTGTGAGGTATACACACACTGCCAGACAGTACAGCACTGACTACTGGTTATACGTGATAATCATACATCGTGCCCTGTTCTACATCACCACGTCCCTGAAATAGAGAGAAAAATCGATAAGATCACCTATAACCTAAATAATGGCTAGTACATTCACGGTCCACACAAAAAACATAGTCCCAGGTCACAGTCGGCGCCATTAAATCAAGTATGTTGATTTCCGGTTTACTTAGTGAGCTATACAGGTCATCTAGACAGGTAGAAACGATAGTATGTGTATTCGAGTTGATTACCTTAACTTACGGTGGACCATCAGGGCAGTATGTACGGATTCATTTAAACGAGTACGACATGTATGTCTTTTAAACTTGTGTAATTTCAGCACTACATACATGTTTATTGTACATTTTGTTTGTTGTCGTTTATGTATTGTGTCATCCTTATATAATACAATAGTTTGTGGTTTAGTTGAATACGGTAGTCTGTGTTTTAAAGGTTTTCTGTCCAGGAATGCTGCCGTAGTTTACGTCTTATCATAATAAATGCTACAATGCACAGAACAGGTGTGGTAACACACAAAGTCGCAGGTAGACGTGTGGGAGCTTATAATGCAGGTAAACGCGTTAATCTTTAAGTATATGACACGTCTTAATCTTACTTGTATAGCCTGAGGCGAACTGACTGCTAAACCAATCAATCAACAAAGTACATATACTGTACGCTTGAGGAGAATCCAACTAGACCGTGTATACACAATGTAGGCATTAAATGAATTTTGAAAGAGCTAGCGTTCTATCAAATAGTAGTGTTTTGATGTTTGTAGTTAACTAGGTTACATAAACGCATCTTTAAGGTACATATCGTTATGTTAAAAATAGACATGTAGTATAGTTAGAAACATGTAGAATTGCAAAATGATCAGTTTACCTTGATAACAAATGGTGTCAGGAATACTTCCTTCTTATCTTCCTTAAACGTCTACAATTTATATGGAATACCTTACACTAGCTGTTTGTTACTAAATGAAATGAAATCGGAAAATAGGATCAATTGAAATTATCAAGTACGATTTTGATCGTGCAGTTATTTGCATTTTAAAATCTTATTTTGAGCTAAGCGGACACAAAACGTAGTAAGAAATGTTACAAAATACGTTACGGAACCTTTATACAATTCAGATAATAATTAATAGGGAGAGTTTTGTTCATTGTTTGTATAAATGTTTTCCAAAAACATATTTTGTGTAACTTTAACTTTCATTTTTGCATCTAGCGTTACTGGTAATTTATCATTAGGAAACAATATAAGTCCGGTACACTTTTGATATTTCATGTGTTTAATTAGATATTATTGTATTATATTGGTTCAAATAAATTGACAATAAAATATAAATGGCTTTAGTCCACGCCATAACAAACGTCTCTCAGCAAGGTAGTTTTATGCATATACCGGGCTTGGATATCATAATATGTCAGTAGTACAACGTTGAATAAAATGTCTTAAGTTGCCTTTTTAGAGTTGACTCAATATTTCCAAATAACGTAAACATAATACTGATTGATGATAAAAACAACAAAAAACATCCTTCTGGTAAAATAAAGACCAGTGGTAACTGGACGGAAAATTAACTAATGCTACAAAGTACCATTAACACCTGTTATATAATGAATAGAGAGGTCAATGACGTAACGAGAAAAATTAATTAAGACTATGGATGCATTTGTTTTAGTGTTTTTGTATCTGGATTAGGTGTAAGTGTAAAACGGTTTTATTGACCTCACTTCTGAGTCACTTTTCAACATGTCTGTGCCACTTACAGTGATTATAACATCTGGAAGGTATTTCAATGTAACCAAGCATTTATATTTTTGTGAGGATTTGAAAGATTGTATGAGATTTCGTATATAATAATTAAAGTTAGAAAATGCATAATAAAAAAAAAACTTTTCAAATTTTAACTCGTCCTCCCACTCCTGTATAGATGACGTGAACAGAAATCGATCATGTACCTATGCTGTCCAATAAGAAACTTCGACCGAGTAAATATAAATAGAGTGACTAACTGAAGTTGACAGAGCTAGCTTACAAAAAAAGTTTGTAAAATTGTGATGGTCTTGTAAATATAAAACGGCCTCCCTTGAGCTCTTCATGTTATTATAGTATTTAAAAAATATTTCTCTTAACCGCTAAAGTACATTATATTTTTTCGCTGTCATGATCATTTCTAAATTGATTTCAAATTTGTTGTATCAAGTGAAGTAGGAATTATATAAGAAGCAAATTACCTTTGGGTATTTAGAACCGTTTCCATTAAAATCAACTTTTTATTCAGTTTGAGGAGACGTTTTGTTCCGGCAGACAATTCAGTTTTTATTAAATCATATAAAAATGTCATTGACAGACATCCCAAAAGGATATTTTCATCATAGAGTGTACTTTAAACAGTTTTGCTTGAGCTGTTGTCGGAGATAAAATTGTATCATCCATAAACAAACATGCTCCTATGCTAACCTTATCGAAACGCAATGACATGTAGTGAAATGAATTAATTTAAAAAATAAATATGATTTTGAAAAACAACCGACATTGTCAATCGAAACATTGGGGGATTTAATAATAATTGTTGGAATAAGTCTACAATCTTTTACTTCATGAACATATACAACCTACACTGAACTGGTACTTGTGAAGGAGATATTGCGAGTTATAAAGATTTACGAAACTGGAATCCCAATCTACTTTCTGCCCTTCACTCGGCTGTCTTAAGAAGAAAAACTGCTGTCGATGTTACCGTTTCTATTTCTTTTCTAAATGCAATGTCACAGTTTGAAGACATGAACAAGCACAGCATTCTTTATGTTATCTTTTACAACATTCATCTTGCGTTTTTACTGTTAAAAACATTAACACGTGCAGGGCGACGCAAGTGGAAGGTGCATGGGAATGTTTGTAGCGGGTGGTAAACAGCATGCACAGTCGATAAGCTATCGTCGTTTGTTCCATTTGTTTAGATTAACCGGAAACAGCCTGTTAGTAAAGAATTGGGCGTATTCTCAAAGCCGACAGATTGAAGTAACCCCATTCCTATTAATTAGGTAAAAAAATAGATATTCTTTTTTGAATGTATTTCTGTTTACGGCTTAGTTGAATATTACATGTAAGGATAGCTCGAAATAACTATGAAGCGGGATATTGTCAGAATAAAATCATGACAGAAAACTGATACATGTAGCATAAAAATGCCAAAACTAAATTTGATTGGTTGTTTTCAACCAATGGAGGAAGGACGAAACTTGAAATTACCAGTTGTTATTTATTATATCATTACATAGATAGGTAAATACCTCAACCCTCAGGGGATGTATACACGATACTAGCTGATATATATATATATACGTATGTAGGTGGTCAACATAAAGTTGGATATGATTTCATAGTGAATGCGTATTAAAGCTGACAGGGAAGTCAAGAACCGCCGAAATAAGATACAAATAGTCTAAAAGTCCTCGTCGGTTAATATTGTGACTGATCCTTTAACTGCCTCTGCATATAGCGTCTCGGACAAGCTTTCGGTCATGTCTGACAAACGACTTAATATTGTGTATCATAGAGGCAAGAGTATGTTCTACAGCGAAATTGTCTATACAACCCGACGAGTACAAATATATACGCATTATGCTGTAATTATACACCTTGTCATGAATAATCTATAATAGCATCATGCTTTTTATTTGTTTTATATCTACAGATAATTAAGTGTTCATGCCGCGTTTCTATTTCCATCAAGCACCAGTAATCTGTCCGTACCGTAGCTTATATTGTGTCATGGCCACTACACCCGAAATCATCGAAATATAAATCCCGCGAAATTAACCACTCTATCAAATATGCAAATATGAAGGAATAAAAATAACATTTACAGTGTTCACATAAACATGTTTAAACTCCAACATATGGTCATAATCTTGAGGAGAAGGGTCACATCCGAGACCACACATGTACACAAGTTACGCGGTCAGTACCCACAGTTGACAGATGAGTATTGATCTTGAAACAATTGCGAATTAACATGTATCGTATTGCTAGTACTAGTTATTAACACTACGTTTGTACTTGGGTACAGGCTAGGTGTAGTACTGTTTGTTGTGTACTGACCATGTGCTTGTCTGAATCACCTCATTACATTGTAAGTGGTAGTCAGAGGGAGAGTCACATGTACGGAGCAATACAGTAGCTAACATGACAAATGATGCGATTCCTGTCTATGAGGAAAGGTCTCGACGGACGCTATGAAATGATTTGCAAGATACAGTAGTGGTTCTTAACTTGCTCTGTCAGCTTCAAGCTACACTGTTCCCTTCAGTTGCAACACACACGCACACACATGAATGGTGTTTTTACGATGTCTCCATTACGGCATATTTATAGCGTAAAACAAGTGAAAGTCATCGAAGTCAAATGCATCTTCGTACGTTTACAACCGTGAGAAAACAGACGTTGTGAGCTTCATGTACATGTATTTAGAGCGATTTAAAACATTGTCACGGATAAATGTATGCAAAGTGGCAAGCGTATCTAATATACGTTCATTGACTATACCGTGTATATGGTACGAGTACTGACGACAATATTTAAAAAAGAATATAGCAAGGCAGATTTGCATACGTAAAAAAAACTATTCCAAAACCACACTTATTCATGTACAATAAAAGGTATATACATGCATGTAGATATAACAATGTATTATCTCCGAACTCCTTTGTACATGTAAGTACCGCGTGTACGATACCAATGACCGAATAGAAGAGTTCGTTTTTTAGTAGTAAGGTGATGGTACATGTAGGTTGGATAACAGGAAGATATAGCACGTACGTGAGGTGCGCGGAGTCAAAGTTCTGATAGCATATTGTCTTTTACGAATACTGATTTAACTTTGTTCGTTCTGTTTGAATTAGCTTTATGTTTTGGAATGGATTACTAATGAAGGACAGTACGGTCTGTTTACTGTGTATATTTAATCAAATTATCCGTAGCTATTCTGAGCTAATCGAGTTAGTAAGTTATGACTTTAATTCATATAATTACAACAAAAGTGATATAGTCTACTCGTAGCACGCAAATATATATGCATACAAAAATATTTACTATCAATAGTACATTCACATGTATTCCTACGCTTACCTGTTGCAGCCTTTGTTTTTCTTCGTTTAAATGCAACAAAAGTACGTCTACATGATGCTTAAATAGTTAACATTCCTTGATTGAACGGTTTGATTAACTTATTATACTTGGTAAGTGTTAGTAGTTATTTCATTCAGGTTTCAGACGGTAACAGTATATATATTACAGGACTGGATTATTTGTTTGGTACATTTGCATCAGAAGTCATCCTTATCATACTGCTTCTATGATATATATATAATCCTGTATCAATCTTTACCCATCCCTCCATACCACGTACTTCTCTAACGAGACCTTGATGACCAGTTTTTATCTTTTGTTTTTAGTAGTGACAGGGTTTATGATTTATTATTGATTTGAAATTAACCAGTACTCAGTAAAAGTGTTTGGAATTATAATTAAGGTGTCCTTTATATCTCTCCTTGTGTTTCAATAATGGTTTAGAATAATTTGGATTTCCACTTTTTGGCCCTTAATATCACCGATGGCTCTCAGAAGGACATTTCAGCTGTATAGTACATTTGTACAGTGTAATTTATGTTTTGGCGTACTGTATCTCAGTAACTAAATGTGAAAGGTGCAATAATATGTGTGTCTTACTTTCATCTTTCAGGTGCATTTATAAAAAAATATGTTATGACGCGGTACGGTAATAGCTATATATTACACATGCAATGGATATAAACAATAGAAACGCTTATATTTCCTACTTCCTGTCCCACATACCTCGGTGTCCATGGAAACTCAACATCCCGTTTAGAATGATGGTCGTATCCCCAGCGTCAAAAGTTATACATTGAAACATATAAAGAGCATCTATATATGCTGAAGTAATTTTCTGTCAAATCACATTTCATGGTTGTTGGTCCTGGAATGCTAGTTTAAAACGAGTAAAGGTCTAAACGATTGATAATGTAGGGTACGAATTAGAACTCGTGCAGTGTCATACTTTTGTGGTGTATTTTAAACAACCATGATGATAATATTAACATCGGTCCTATTACAGTAACGCGATTGTTTCTTTAGTCTCTTATATCCAGGTTCTGATATGTATTGATAATGAATTATTCCTAATACAAACTGTATATGACACCAGAGTTAACTAATTGGTGGTTTACTTTACCCAGGTTTACTAATTTGTGTTATACTTTACCTAGGTTATATGACTGTGAAATGTGAGTGGTATTATTCACCAGTGTTAAATAATTGGTGGTATATTATTCCAAGGCTAAAATATTGGTACTATTTACCCAGATCAAACGCCTGGTGGTATACTTTACCTAGGTTAAATAATTGGTAGTAGTGTATACCAAGGTTAAATGATTGGCGATATAATTTACCCAGATCAAACGACTGGTGGTATACTTTACCCAGGCTAAATAATTGGTAGTAGTGTATACCAAGGTTAAAAGATTGGTGTTATAGTATACCAAGGTTAAAATGGATTGATAACATATTTAACACGTATACGCGGTTACAAGCTTGATTTTCTTCATACTAATATTTTCAGGTGAAATCGCACAAGGTCGATTAACATGTGTCACCATAAGCTTAAGACATTGGCAATGTTCAAGATTTTAATCTAAAACATCATACCCTATCTCAATGTTTGGATTTTACGTCAATCACAATGTAATTGATTCATCACATATTTCTATGGTGATTCAGTATAACGTCAATATTTGTGTATTACAAAGCGTCCACTGTCTAGTTACTGTATATACATAACTTGTAAAAACTGTTTATCACATTAAGCAAGACACATGTCAGATTGAATCTAAACTAATACACAGGATTAATTGTTAAAGTGTTCAAATGTTCTTGTCCAGAACAAACAAAAATCCCTGTCTGGACGTTCGAACGGAATAACACTGTCTCCAATACTCACCGATATTGCAATTGTATCGACTTCTAGTAGGAGTGGGTTACACAACGATTAATAATTAGCCTTAGTGGACCAACGTATAATATACCTACCTTATATATGATGATCTGCTTGCTATCCTCAGAAACACCAGTCAAGCGGATGAAGCATTCACCAGTAGGAATGACACAATACAAATGCAATTAACATTTAAATCATGTATAACCCATATAAAGGAAAGACTCATCTGACGCATGCGCAGTTTTTACATATTCAGGATGTTGTAATTGGGCAGCACAAGTACTTCAGGAGATACTCTAACGTTTGTGGTTAAACAACCATACCGTTTGACCCAGTTAACCGGTTTTGTGTTAAAGCCTTAGGTCCGAGATTCATTAGTATTAATGTATGCTTGTAAGTCAGCTTAATCAATAGAATAATATATTTTCATTTTAAAAATGACCATTAAAGAGAAAGTTTGAAACGAAAAATAGTTCCACTATTTTGTCGTCATTGGTGGTTTCAATGAGCCTACTTTTTACTACGATTGACAAAAAAAATCATCGTTACAGACAAATACATAGCATAACGACATAACATAAGTATTTACCTGGATCAACACAGTCCTCAAACATCATGACGAACCAAAGATCATCATTTCGATAACTTGAAAAGGAATTTGACAAATTTGTTTACACCAAGTGGATGTACTTACCTTTGTTTTGCATGATCGTTTATCCAAGACACAACCTATCCTAACCCGAAAAAAGAGAGATTAACAGAGGGTAAGACAACCATGAAATCACCCCGCGGGTTGGAGATTTCCCTGTTTAACCCTCAAGGTCGGGGATGTTTATTTTTCTCCCATCCTATTATTTCATTCACAGATCTACCGACAGTAGTCTGCCATGTTTGTAAACAAAAACACATGTGGGGTACATTGTATGCATATCGTCATTCACTTTTGATGACGTAACAATTACCGATGACGCATTTTGATGACGTCACAACTGAACACGTGCTAATCGGCACGAGGCCATCTCCCCCAAAGGGGCGACAAACTGATCTTTCCATGCTAAAACGGGAGACACAGAAGGGTGGGAGAAAATCCAGTCTATTTATAATATGGCCTTTTGGAGATGGCTTGATATAAGAGCCTTTTCTTGTTGCCAGATCGCTAATATTACACTATGTAAAATTATATATTATGTACAGCATATTTCTAAATAAAATATTGTTTATACCAATATGACCTTACATTGTCAAACGACCGTAGGACGGATGGAACAATTGTTGTAAGATGCGTTAAGCCTAACCTAAAAAGAGTTTTAGTAAAGTTTAATTATGACTTCTATGTTGTTTTTTGTGTCCGGAGTTTGTTCTCATCGTTTTCTGGTCGTGTCGACTTGAGGTTTTTATCTTTGCATGTTGAAGCTATTGTATATTTTGTCAGTAATGGACTGAGACCACAATTAATTTACTACATGTTTCGTTGTAACATTTAATTTCATGACAAATGTCCCAATATTTGATAGCCAACTCTATATATATAGCGAAATCTTGGGAGCAAAATATAAAAATTTGTGAGAAAATTATCTTTTCAGTATATCAACACTAAACATGCACACAAATAGCAAATTTTAAGAGACATAGCATACCTTAAAATATTTCTAAGGGATTTCATCGTGGGGACTGAACATAGTTAAAAGGGAGGCAATCGGTTACAAGGGGGGGGCAATCTCTTCCAAGGGAGGCAAGAATTTAAAAGGGGACGATCAGTTACAAAAATAGCGAGCATAAAAAAAAAAAAAAGGCAAGTAGTTACATGTACAAGGTAGGAAATGTCATACAAGGAAGGCAAGGAGTCGAAAGGAGATCAGGCATTTACAAAGTAGACAGGTAGTCAAATGGCAGGCAAGTAGCTACAAGGGAGTTAATCTCTTACAAAGAAGGCAAGGAGTCGAAAGGAGATCAGGCATTTACAAAGTAGGCAGGTAGTCAAATGGGAGGCAAGGAGTAACAAAGGAAGCAAGATGTTAAAAATAAGGCAAGCAGTCACAAGGGAGGCAAACCCTTACAAGGGAGGCCAAAAATCACAGGGGAGGCAAGCAGTTACAAAATAGGCAAGCAGGTACATGGCAGGTTAGTAGGAAAGTAGTTAAAAGGGATGCAAGCCGTTACAAAGGAGGCAATCTTGTACAAGAGAACAATGAGTTGAAAGGGAGAAAAGCTGATACAAAGTCGGCAAATAGTTTAAAGGTGAGCAAGTAGTTACAAGTTAAAAGGGAGACAAGTTGTTGCATGGAAGATACAGATACAGAAAGAATATATTTGTTCGTTTTTTTTTTTTAACAATCATGGTCATTTTAGGAGGTATCTCATTTTGGTGGTGGACGAAAGCCGGAATACAAGTACCTGGCGAATGCCTAATGTAGGCCACGAACCCACGACCAAGACCGGAGGGCTAGTGATTATAGATGGTCTGACGCCTAAACACGGAATACAAGGAAGAAACATCAAGAAACAAGGAAGGAAAGCAGATAAATATTATATCAAGCAAATGAAAAAGGAAATGATTTGTATCACCAACATTTTAAAACAGCAATATTTCTATTCATATGAGCTCGAAACGGAGATATTGTCCTTGTTTTACACGATGCACTTGATTCATGTAGCCTAAAGGAAAATGCACTTATCTATGTTTTAACTTGCTAGACATCAAGGCACAGAGCACGTAAAGTTTATTTTACAAAGTAGAATCCTCACGTCATTATGGAACGGAAGTAAATTTTAGAGGAAACTGCTACTGCGTATTAATGTCATATCGTATTATATTTGATCGTTTATGATAGAAGCCACATTTCCGTGGGCCTTCCCTGTACTTAGGGTAGGACTCTGAGTGGACGTGCAGCTAATTGGCATATAAGCGGTGCGGATGCGCACCTGGACTAGCTTGTTTTCATAATGATATCTAGGTCTAGGATGGTTGCCCAATAAATGTATTAATAATTTGTCATCATAAGGGTAGCCCTTGTCGCCATCGTACTATCATACGTTTTAAAATAGTATCGCCCGAGGGAAGGGTATTCAGAAACTAATGATATAACGACATTTCCGAAAGCAATTAAGAACACTTTTTGAATTGCCGAAAACCGGATGTGATAAGTCTTTAATCAGATTTACGTTTAAGTATCTCGATTATCTAAGGACGTCATTTGTTTAAGATAAGGATGGCTAGTCTTGCAGCTGATATCTCGTAATCACAGTGTAGAATTAACGTATACACACGATAGGTTTGCGTCAATGAATAATACATATAAAGCCATTCAAATTTTAAAGATGTTAGAGAAATGCAATTTGAACAGGTAAAAAGGGAGACAATTCAGTCAAAAGTGGTAGAAATCCCTATCCTTAGTCAAACGGACGTCATATGCATAATGAGTGCAAATACGAGGACATGTATCGTTCGGATTGCTAATTATGTCAAAATATTCCTTCACATATAACCAGTACATGAATATATTGTTAAATGTGTATATGATTAAATATAATATCACTAAAGCTAACTTTATATCAATACAAATCAAATCATAATAGCTTATTTAATTTACTGTCAATACGTGTGATATAGATATTGCATATTTCAGTTTAAGTATCAATAAAGATGAAACGATAGCAATGTATTTAGTATCAATAATGATTATCAATACTTCAAATTCCTCATTTGCAATGAAAAAAAAAAAACAATTATCTTTTCTAAGCATTTAAAAATAGATTATTAAGAAGCGAGATTTATGGTAACTGAAGTTCTTTTTTAAATATAAACACAAACTTCAGATCCTATTACATACGTATTTAGTGTTAGTCAAGGTAACGCTTTATCACTTGGGATGATTATATTGCGGTTAGTTATAACTATGCTTCATCGAATACAACAATACAACATTTTAAGTAACAGAGAAAAAGATCGTGACTGACCAATGAGTCGACATCTTACAGGTTTCACAAATACATCACAGCAGCTCGTTATAACATGCCTTAGCCTCAGATATACTCAGCAATTTTGAGTTGCACATAGGGAATAAATGACATTGTAATTGCAACTTCATTTGGTGAGTAGTTCTAATTAAACTGCCATACAAACTAAGGCAACACTGGGTACATATATTTGTATATACAGTATAAAAACATGGTTATTACAATGTATTAAAATAATCGTTATATTTAGATGGTAACAAAATAATTCGAACGTAACCTTATTTCAAAGGCTTACTATATTTTTTTGCGAGAAGAAGATGAAATTCGCTAAGCTTTTGTATGGAGCACGTACGTGTGTAGGACACAAAGATGTACAAAGTGTATTCCCTTGTGTTCGGTGCCAATGTTCTGTTTAATATAATCATATCAGACAATACACAATACAAATATATCAAATAGCATTACATGTTCTACAATCTATAGAACCAGTGTAACCCAATAGACACCAAAATAAACAATGGATTTTTGTGTGTAATTTACGTGATGTATCTCTACCGTTCCTAATCGGACGGTACCACCATAACGTGGTGGATACAGTAACACCACGACAAACCATCGCGGGAGCCCGACCATATTTAGTACAGGGCTCCTAACTGCGGTCCTGTGTCGGAGAGACTCACTTATGTTCCCTGCTGTCGACTCCGTTTGTATATTCTATAGGTTATTGGTCTATTCAAAGCTTTCCATGAAAGGCGTTTTCAGTAAATATGTCTACAGTCCAGATTATCCTACGTGCAGGCCGTACGCTGTGAGGTCAGAACGACCTTATGTAATATGCAAACTGTCAAACCCATATTTAACTGTGTCCTTATCAAATCTGATTGCCGCGTCACAGCCATTTGGGTGAGGGCGCAAGTTTAATTGCATCAACGCAATGCTCCAGTACACTGTATGTATGGTAGCCACTGTTCACCAAAAGTATATAACTATGAAAACATTACACAGCATCTATATTATACAATATCCATGTAGTGGACGCTGTATCGTAAAGGAGAACACCAGTCATCACCTGTTGTTTTGTTACTTGCAACAGGTAATTATATGTACTGTAAACGTGAAAATTTTCGCGGTATGGGATTACTCGCGTTTTCGCGTTCAGTAAATTAGTGCGAAAATAACCACACCTTTATATGTGTTTATAGATTCTATACATCAAAAATATGTAGGATGCTAAGAT